TCTCCAGAGCCAGGTACACCCGAGCAGCCAAATGCTGGTGGGTTTCAGGGAGAGCTCTGTCTTCCCCACAAGTTTACGTTGTCTGGGGTTTGAATCTCCTCCTGTTTGCTGTATCACAGTTCAAAATAGACCTACTTAAAACCGAGGTGTGATTTTTATTTATTTTATTTTTTTTTAATTTATTTTTATTTTTCCCCCATCTCTGGGAGAAGTTAAGCTTTGTTAATAGTCTGTAGGATCAGGCAGCTCCGTAATCCCAGTTTAAAACCAAACCCACCAACTGCAGCCAGGCAGCCACGTGTGGAGTTGGCAGTGTAGGGCTGCCCAGCTCTGCCGTGTCCCTTCTTCAGGTGGGGGAGGCTGTGGCAGAGGGGTGCAGCTGCCTAGTTTCCTGCTCTGCCCATCCCATCCCGGAGAATTCCAGGTGCTGTCTAGCCCAGTGACGTGGATCAGCCCCTCTGGCCCAGTGAAACGGTCCCTGAAAAAGAGCCCGTGGGCACGGGGTGGAGGGTGCTGGGCCTAGCTGGTCCTTAGGAGTAATTGGGTTTGGATGCTCCCAAGATCTGTGGCAGATGCACTGTAACATTTGCTGTCAGCTCAGCAAGAATTGGGACTCTGCTCCTGTCGACATGAAGGTCTGGTAATAGGAGCTTGGCATAACTAAAGTCATAACTTTCATGCAAATCACTAAAATGTTATCAAGGTTCAAAGCTACTCAGTAGGCACTTAATAATGTGTTAGTGCTAACCCGGGCCAGCTTTTTCTTCCTTTGATACTTGGAAGTTAAAAGGTGATTTCAGGTTGTCTGACTCTTTCTAGTCCTTTAATAAATCCTTTATAAATTGTTTCTCAGTCCTTTAAAAACAGGGTCTTTCAGAGAAGAATATTGTTGGCAGCTAGGAAGCATTCGAGGGAGCTGTACAAGGTCAGAGTGTGGGCAGGTTTAAGTTATAACTTGTGTCTTGGTAAATTTAGTTGCCTCTGTCACCATCCAAGGGGCTTCACAGGGCAAAGTTAATGTCAGAATCAGGGCTGCATCTGCTCAGAGGTGTTGTGATTCCTGGCTGCACTGGTCAAAACAGCAACATTTCAGTAATCAGCCTTGTTCATTCAGTGACCCCAGAAAATCCCTTTGGGGTGATGATGCATTTGTAACCTGATGGCAAAGTGCTGAGCCTGTTCTGTGATGTAGGTAAAAACTCAAGAGGACCTGGACACGCACCGAAGGGAAACAGAGAATGCAGCAACGTTGCTCAAGCTGGAGGTTGAAGATGAAATTAGGAAGGGCTTTACGTCTTCAAGCCCATCCTCTCTAGAACTGCTGGAAGATTGGGAATCATCTTCTGAAGTAAAGGGGAGGCTGCAGGGTGACTCTGATAACGGGCAGGAGCCTGGGCTGTTCGCAGCTGCTGACAAGAGACTCTTCACACTGGAAGAAAAGTTGAATTTTTCTAAAGTCTTCTTAATGGTAAAATGCTTTTAAAAAGGAGCTGCTCCTCGTGCTCCCACTGAGCCTGTCTGTGCTGGTACCTCCAGCTGTAGTGCTCGGTTGCTGAATGTGCTTTTGTTTCCAGGATGAGCAGTGGCGTGGCGAGGCTCTCCGAGAAAAACTGCAGCACCACGAAGATCGGCTGAATGTGGCACATCCCCACCCAGGAGAGGGTGTGGTCAGGACAGGCAGTGCAGGAAGGAAGACTTGCCCCATCAAGGAGGATGTTGGGTTTATTCACCAGTCAGAAATAGGTTGTGGAAAACAAATTCTGGTAAAAGTAAGTCAAGCTCGTGGTCTCAGAATGTTTAGGAGCATACTAAAGATGGACTTGCTTAGAATTCATAGTGAATTTTTTTGATGTGCATGAGTGAATTATAAATGTTAATTCCTGCTGAACTCATTCAGCTTAAGCAGCATTTATCACATTTTTGTACATTACATAGAATTTAAAATGTGCATTTGAAGAATGTCTTACTGAAAAAGTGATTAAAAATATCTTTTTTTTTTTTTTTTTTTTGGCTAAAGGTAAAAGAACGAAAGAAGATAGTGAAGGAAATGAAGCAACTCGTGTTCCCAAAGACCCTCCCTTTGTCCCACCCCCTGGTACAGTTATTTACACAGTCCTTCCAGATGGTGCCCCTGTACCTCAGGGGACTGTGGTTTATGGCCCTCCTCCTGCAGCAGTGGGTGGAGGTTCAGTTGCTCCTGGATCTGTTATCTACGGCCCCCCTCCTGTGGGAGCCCAGGTCGTTTGTGGCCCTTTGCCTCCAAACTTCACTGTCCCACTCATTCCTGTTGGAGTGCTTCACTGCAACGTGCCTGAACACCATGATTTGGTAAGATACAGAGCTGTAAGCTGCAGGTTTAACCACGGGCAACTGACTTAAGAATGGATTAGTAATTAACATATGCTTTCTCAAAAAAAGAGGCAAAACCCCCCTGCATTTTCACAGAATAGATTAGTCCAGGTTTTTTTAAAAAAATATTAAAAAATCCCTGCTAGGAAGGTTCT